AAGTCACCCACATAAAATCTGTCATTCATGTTAATATTCATATAATAATAAATAATTTAAATGTAGACAAAGAGAGAGAAATTTGTTGCCAACTTTCAGATCCCCTTTAAAATGACTATGACTAAACTCCTGACTCATATGACATGAGATGACTCTTATCCCAATCATCTCTGTCAAAATAAATAAATAAATACATACATACATGCATAAAATAAAATAAAACTATGTATTTTTCTTCCTATTCGTAATGGCCTTCAGACATCTATCAATAATTTGTGTTGACGCCTGAGTGCCTATGTTCAATTACGCGATTTTACAACTAGGGAATTGCGTTTCTTATATATAAAGAGCTGTAAATTCAATTGTTTTTTGTTTTAAATGAATAAAACTTAGCACTCCGTGTGAAAATCTTATACACAATAATCTCAGGGCTCAGTGACCATGCAATGACCCCGGGGTTTTCTTTCGAGGGTCAGGTCAATGCAAAGTCGCATCTCTCCTCGATTTCGAAAACAATTAGTCTGTAAATGAATATTTGCTTGAAAGAATACATTTTTACAACAATATCATTTTACAACGATAGAAACATCTTTATTATTGTTGTTGTTATGGAATAATTAATAGAGGTAAGTTCTGTTTTGTATTTAGCGTATTCTATTTTCACGAACGCCCTTTTCGTTAATTTGCTCTCTTAATTTATTGCTTAAGACCTGAATGTTTAATGAAGTTTGAATGTCAAGAGCTTCGATATTTCTTTAAATCCCTGATCATTCTTTCAGCAAATAACTCAATGAATAAACAAATGTGTCAGTAATTATAATAATAGTAGATCCTGTCTCCCTTTTATAGAAATGTAAGTAACATTTCAGTTTTTAATACTTATCAGTCTCTTAAAAAAACACGGTCAAAATGGCGTATAAACATACTCTCTGTATAACGAACATGTAATTTCTTAACCTTTATTTAACGTTTATTGCTTTATTTTAACCCGTTTTTGTTTTTGGCGTACCTAAACGGCAAAGAATATAATCGCATTTATGTTTTCACAGTCACGAGTCCTCCTGTTTAAATCTGGTCATTAGAGACGGAACAGGCTTACATTCAAATCTCAGAATGGAAATTTTAGATTGATTTGCGTTTATCTCTTCTAATTCTTTCTTCTGTTTATTTATAATTTAAATAATTAGATACATTTTTGTCTAATGCTATTTTTTATTTTGTTACTCTTTTTTGTATTTTGATAAAAATGTAGATAATTTTATCGAGTTATGAAATTTTTTGCAATGGTTACTCGATGGGGACTCAATGCAATAAAAACTATATTACTAGGCCTATTACTAAATTCATACAAATGGCGTAGAGGGCCTTCTTTTGCGTTGATATTTTTTCGTCACTTCAGCATGAGGACAAATCGATAGTGCACAGCATTTTCAGTGCGTTCACAGGTGTGTCCATGCCCGAAAATGTAGAGAAATATCTTACTCATAAATTTAAAGGAAAGTTGTCTTTCCTTTGATATTATTCATCTGAATATCTAAACTGATATTTTGCATTGTTTTAGAAATGACATTAACACGATTATCATTTTGAGCATCAACAAACAAACACACGCGCGACGCCTTAGGAAGAAGAACTTACGCACTCAGGAGACCAGGAGATATTTAGGCTCCATGCAGACTCACACGCAACCCTCATGTTCAGGTGGATTTAAGGTAAAGGTGAAGCTCAAACAAGACCGCTGTGAGGGTAGAGAAAATGGCGCGCTCTCTGCACTCAAGAAAGTATTTTTTTAAATGAACCAATATAATTTTTTTTAAATTTTTTTAAAGACAGCATGCCAGTGAGTCTTTAGGAGGATTTTGCTCTGTTACTGCCTCACTCGACACTCTGTACGCGAAATTGATAGGTTGTGATATGAGGAATCAGACATGTCATCAACACAATGGGGTCAGGCCGACTCATCCTTGTCGATAGATGAGATGATTTAATCGATGTTCTCTCTTTTTTTTTTTCTTGTCCTCCGTTTTCCTTCGATAAACTAACAGGTCAATAGGGTTGTCATCACGAATGACGGTGACAGCATTGCGCATCCTCTTTCGTGGATAAACATGCCTACCATGTGCCAATATAGCTTCGTCCCTGCGGAAGAAGCCAGAGAGCAAGTTATCTGTGGATTGAGACTATGCAAACAATCAAATCGATAAATCAAACATAATAGTACAGGCAAAAAAAAAAACCTCTTTGGACACATGTACCTAAACGTTATATAAATTACTTGTAGATTATTTAAAGTTACCAGCTAGTCAGAAATATTTTGACAGGCTTATACCAGGCATTCGCACCATCACGAGTAAATAGTGTTCAGATAAATTGTAATTAAGTGAAATTTTTATTCACACATTTAATTCACCCGTATCTTGATCGTTTTCTAAAGCATGTTTCTAAAGGAGACTTGAGTCTTTATCTTTGACTGATAAAACTCAGTACGACCGGATGACAACTTTGAAGAGATGCGCATCATGTTGCAGAACTCACAACACATACACAACATCAGGGTTAACACTATGCACGGTCCAGAAAAGTTGTCAGTGTGTTGAAACAAGCCTTTGGCGAAACGTATATGATTCATCTCTCTTAATAATACATCTCTTAAATATATTGCACTACTTCCTTTGGTTCTTGAGGTAGGCTAGGTATTTTGACAAGTGGTGCAAGTCCGACCAAAGACGTGTAAAAGTGCAGCATTTGTTATTACTGTGCATGAAAACGCACAAGAAACGTGTTATTTCTAGGTGCTTGACAAGATGCCCTAAGACAATTAACAGTCATTTCACAATAACACAAAGTAGCACAGGTAAATACTGAATGGTCAGAATCTGTAAGTTGTGCACTGGTCTCTGTATGACACTGATGTCACATGATGATTTTGACAATAACCTTGACACGAAAGTCACTAACAGTACTGCAATATCATTAACCGGTTGGCAGAACAAACGTGAGAGCCTTTTAATTCGACGTGTAGGCATCAACAGTCGGGGAAGAGGGAGAGGGAGTGGGTGGTGCGGAGAGCGACTTTTCAGATGCATCCTCCTGTTTTTCGTGACCATCCTTAGTCTCGGACTGAGATTTCGGCAAAAGACCTTCCTTTTCTCGCTTCTTTTGCTTCATACGACGATTTTGGAACCAAATCTTCACCTGAGTCTCGTTTAATTGGAGCGCAGCCGCGATCTCCACCCGCCTTGCACGAGTCAAGTACTTATTGAAATGAAACTCCTTTTCAAGCTCTGTCAGCTGTTTTGTAGTAAAATTGGTGCGTACAGTGTTTGGCTGCCCACCAAATCCATACTCTCCAGCTTTCCCTGAAGAGAGACGATAAATAGATGAATAAATGAGAGTGTGCATGCATAATCTTGTCTTAATTATATCACACCAATTATCCAGAATTTTACACAACCAGGGTGTTCGCAAAGCAATATTAAGTCAGTACTTGTTTTCTTTTTTCATTCGTAACATGAATACTGTATCCGGAAAAGAAAACCATGTGAAAGTTCTCTAGCCACTCACCTGTTTTCGGGGGGTTCCGTTTAACCTTCATCCAGTCAAATGTCTGCCCTGTTGACACGCCATCTGATAGAGGTGAACAACATGCGTCGTGATGAGCCACATGCAGAGGGGATAGCGGATTTGAGCAGCCCGCCACAAACGTTAGGTTTGCCTGGTCCGAGCTATTACCATATGTGGCTGAGGCGTACTGGAACTGGCCATGGAGATGAACGTTTCCACTACTGTAACCATGGCGATGGTGACGGTGCTGCACAACCGAGGAAATATTTCCAGAGTAAACTAGCGGGCCGCACTGGGGAAAGCTCACAGACGAGTCCACATCCTGATTTAGGGCACAGTGACTGTATCCGGCGTAAAAACTTTGAGTCCCGTAACTTGGATGGGCGCTGTAGGTAATTGACAGAGTCCCGGGGGACTGGTACGAGCCGGCTTGGTGTGGCTGAGGGTTAATTGCGTCTTGTGATGATCTACTGGACATGTACCTCTCGTCCCCACCGCAGCTATTTACCCTTACAGCACACGATGACTGAAATGTTGAAAGTCCGTGGTCGCCAGGAAACGCTCTGACTGAGCACGAGCCCCCGCCACCTGCATCTCCACCACCACTTATGGCCGAGAAATCTAGGAATGTGCTCATTGTGGCATCTTCCTGGGCGTCTTTGCGCGTGGCTGCCACACTGACAGATCTTTGGGCCCGGGGACTGATTAACGTCGCACCACTCACCCGGGGTTGAGCCGAGCCACCCTTCTGCCTCCTTCAATCAGTCGTGGATTGGGGGGTGTCCGCGCGCTAGTGATATGAATGACCAGTGAGAGTCACGTGGGCTGGGTCAGCCAGTGATCAGTTGTTCTGTCTCATCTTGATCTTAAGTGGCCTTGCACTGACAGGTTGTCGTTAAAGACCAGGCTTATGTAAATGCCGACCTCTTGTCGATCAACGTGACGTAGGCCCACCTTATCCCCCATTGAAAGGATGGATTCGCTGGCAGAGGAGCAAGGAGAGATGTAGTTTCACAGACAGCGTCCAGGCAGCAACATATCGGTGTGAGGAAATATGTTGAAGAAATGTGCCAGGTAAGGTGAGCTCCAAACCACAGGGAAATAATGTAAAGTGAATGTCTTTTTATCTCCTTCTGGTTTATTGTATTTTGAGTCAGTTGCTCTGCTTTGTGAGGTTGCTATGCAGTCATTAGCTTTAGTCAACTTGGCCTTGTGTATAAAAATGATAAACCGGTAATAAAACTGATTGTATTTTTTTCATTATATCTTATCTTTTCATTAGAATGCATTTGTAATTTGATAAGGCTGAGTCTTATTTGATAAAAAGCCTGCATAACCCACTGTATATTTATTGCTTTAGCCTAAGCAATTTTTTGTAAAATCCATGTAAATTTTAACATCCTGAAAAAAATGAAGCTGAACTTTGTCACATATTCCTTAATAAGCAATTGCTTGTTTTGCTGAATGATGCTTTGTGATCAGTGGTCACAAAGTGATCGGTTATCACATGAAAGTGTATTCCTATCCTCTAGCCCAGTGTTTCCCAACCCTGGTCCTGGAGGCACCCCGACACTGCACATTTTGCATGTCTCCTTTCTCTGACACACCAAATTCAGGTCTTGGAGTCTCTACTAATGAGCTGATGATCTGAATCAGGTGTGTTTGATTAAGGAGACATGCAAAACATGCAGTGTTGGGGTGCCTCCAGGACCAGGGTTGGGAACCACTGCTCTAGCCTATAGTTGGGCAGGGGGACGTGCGCCCCCTCTGGATGAAAGGGAGATTTTTTGAGAGATGTCCAATGTTATTTTTTTTGTCCTCAAAATGGCGCTTTCCACAAGCTTCTGACGGCCTAGTATTTCTAATCCTCTCTTCTTAACACATCGTTTTTAAACATGGTCCTTGACAAACAAGGCAAGAAAAATAACAGCTGTTATAATGCACTTACTGTTTGTTTATTGCGGCTGTTCTTCATCTTGTAGCGAGCCAGAGTGTTAACATAGTACAAATTAGAACCTTAGAACAATGCATTTAAGCAAAATGTGACTACGAATCCGTCATTTGAGGTTTAAAAAGTAGAACCAACTAAATCTTGCAGAACTTTTCAGCCACATTCACAGACAATATTCGAGGAAGATGTATAGGAAGTGTGGGTGAGAAATATATGAACAAAAATATGCTTGTCATTACGATTATACTATTTTATTAATATTAGAAATATTTGAAAAAAGATTTTAATGTAGGGTTCATAAACCATTTCTATCACATTATTTCAGTCAGGCTAGAAGGACAAGAAGAAAAAAAAACTTAAAAGAGACAAAGACAAATAGCGTATGTCACGCGCAATGAAATTTGTAGTTTATGAGTGTTTTGTGTAATCCTAATGCCGGGTGTTAAAACGCCAATAAAAATGAATTATTATCCGTCCACGTGGGTTGTGCTTCGGGATCCAAAATCTTCTTAATGATAAACAGTGAGTGAAAACACTTATTTGGGCAGACTTTTCACAGGCAGTGATTGTCTTGGTGCTGTCAACTTGCCTGAAAGACTTTGATTTATGAGTTCGTTATGGAAAGAAACATCCTCGGCATTTCCCCACGCGGAGCGGAGAAAAGAGTCTGAGACAAAGAGCCTAGCTCTGGCGAAGAAGCCATTTTTGAACACGTTTTGTCATTTAAATTGTGACTTTAAATTAAAGTTTGTAGAAGCCATATTTGAACACGTTTTGTCATTTAAATTGTGACTTTAAATTAAAGATGTGAAAAGTTTACACATTAATATGTAAGCCTATAATATCAAATATAGTAGGAGTAATTATACAGTTTGTTAATTTGCATCGTGCAAAATGGGCAACAACATAATATTTCATAAGTAATTATTTCTAGTGCACATTCATTAAGAAGTTTAAATAGATATTTAAAATGTTTTAACTAGTACTGACTTTTCCATGTCATCTAATAATGTTTCAGCATGGAAATCATACATGTGAGGAACATAAAATGTTAAATTATCAAATCAATGTAAATGTAAACATTTGTATGACTTCTGCAAAGAACACTGCAGTAGACGTGAATCTAATAGTACATTTAATTTGGTTATTTTTTTATTTTGAAGTGTTATGACTGGTATAATGGATTTATAGCCTATTTAGGTACTAGCGAAATAATAGGTTGTTGTAATTGCTATTGATTTGAGAACAGAATATTGTCTTGACATTTGTATTTACAAAATATGTTTATTTTTACAGAAATAAACATCACTCGATACAGAAATAAAAGTAATCTAAACTAATACTTCTGTTATGAATGCATTAGGCCTATGCATTATGTATTACTAAATACAGGGCATGACTTATGTAGCTTACCTTCGATATGTTATCATAATCGCGTCAGATATTGCAAACAAAAAAATCATTTAAAACTCCTGATTTATCCTTTCATTTGTTCACTGATCCAATTGGATAATCAGTAGTTTGCATTTTGTAAATCAGCTGTAGTCAGAGAATCCGTAAATAAATAAAAGTCGGATGAAACACCATCTGTGCTTTCTAGAGACTTGTACAGCACTGGCGAAGCTGCATCAGACAGACATGAGTCGGTCGAAAAAAAGTCCTGCACAGACATGTCCATAACATGCGGGGAATCGCAACTGTCCGTACTGGCACATCGGTTGCATATTATTATCCCCTTGCCCAGAGCAGTAGGTGACTGACTGGAAACATCTTTTAGACTTCTTTCCATAAATCTGTTAGAAAACATTTCAAAATGTTGCATGTCGTTATCATTACAGGACTGCCCAGAAACGTTTGACAGGTCGTTTTGAAAAGTGTTCGACTCTCCATCTTCAACGCCCAATCTGCCATGACTGAGGCCACAAATGGAGGCGTCCTCGTCGCTCTGTGCACCATTATCCTCCCCGACAGTTGTCTTGCTTAGCTCCCCGTGGATGTCTTTAGTCTGGGTCTGGCGTTTATGTTTCATCCGTCGGTTCTGGAACCACACTTTAACCTGGCGTTCCGTAACGTCGAGCAGCGCGGCTATTTCCACACGGCGTGGTCGGCAAAGGTATTTGTTGTAGTGGAATTCTTTCTCCAGCTCTAAAAGCTGTGTGTTTGTGTATGCTGTTCTCAGGCGGCGCGAACCTCCTTCTCCACTAGACAAACCGCCCTCGGGAAGCTCGGGTGAGCCTGAAAAAAATTAGTCCACAAAGGAACACGAACACTTGTTATGTTGCTTAGTCAAGCATACAATATAGAAGCATGACAACACCTAGTATTTGTCTATCGCAACGTTAATGTAATCTTAACTGTAAATTGCGATAACACAAACTGATGAACTAAGAAAAAAAAAACTGTAGACTGCGAACAGCATCATCGTGTGTGCGTGGAACCGACTACCATCTTCTAATGAATGCCTGAGTGGCCCCTTCCGCCACAACAGTAATCTATCATTCTCCGTTACACGTCAGACATCAGAAAGATTTTATTGATTTGAATTAAGTTACAGTCAAAAAAAATTACAGAAGTGGTAAATGAGAAAGAATAATATGAGGTAAATAGGCGTCCTCGTCGCTCTGTGCACCATTATCCTCGCCGACAGTTGTCTTGCTTAGCTCCCCGTGGATGTCTTTAATCTGGGTCTGGCGTTTATGCTTCATCCGTCGGTTCTGGAACCACACTTTGACCTGGCGTTCTGTAAGTTCGAGAAGCGCCGCTATTTCCACACGGCGCGGTCGGCAAAGGTATTTGTTGTAGTGGAACTCCTTCTCTAGCTCTAAAAGCTGTGTGTTTGTGTATGCTGTTCTCAGGCGGCGCGAACCTCCTTCTCCACTAGACAAACCGCCCTCGGGAAGCTCGGGTGAGCCTGAAAAAAATTAGTCCACAAAGGAACACGAACACTTGTTATGTTGCTTAGTCAAGCATACAATATAGAAGCATGACAACACCTAGTATTTGTCTATCGCAACGTTAATGTAATCTTAACTGTAAATTGCGATAACACAAACTGATGAACTAAGAAAAAAAAACTGTAGACTGCGAACAGCATCATCGTGTGTGCGTGGTACCGACTACCATCTTCTAATGAATGCCTGAGTGGCCCCTTCCGCCACAACAGTAATCTATCATTCTCCGTTACACGTCAGACATCAGAAAGATTTTATTGATTTGAATTAAGTTACAGTCAAAAAAAATTACAGAAGTGGTAAATGAGAAAGAATAATATGAGGTAAATAGCGTGGAGAGGATTGTGCAGATATACGGTGATGCTCATATTTTCTCTCAGACCTTTAATGACCTTAATTCTTCCCATCTCTCTTCGCTTAGGTTTTCCTAAAACTCACCTTTTGGAGAGAAGCAAATGACTCCCGCTGTAGGAGTCAAGAAGCCGGTCGGTGTGAGAGGACAGTTTCTCTTGTTAGTCTTCTTTTCGCGCATCCACGGGTATTCCTGGGTCAGAGATTTGGCGTGTAGTGGGCTTCCCCCATCTACGCTGTGCCGGGGCCCTGCATCGCGTGGCTGAGTCCCGAGACTCAAGCTTCGGATGGTGTGCTCGAAAGGAGGTAGGATAAGAGGGTGAGGGTTCGTGAGCGCTGAGCTTTTGATTGATGACTTCTGAAATGAGTCGTCAACAGGGGGGAAAGAAGTAAGGCACTCCGCGAGCGATGGCAGACTATTGATGAAACCCGTCTCACGCTCAAACTCGTAATTCATTGTAAACCTGTTGTCTCACGCCCCAAGAGCGCGGATAGGGAAAGTTTGGCTTCGTTGAAGTTTACGAGTTTTCGCTCTCAATTAAAATAAGCAGGCTATGTGGAGAAAAAAGACATTCAAATTATTTTGTAATATGCCCGTGTGGACCCCTTGCTATTGACAATATTCATTCAAAAGGAGACGTGGTTGAAATTGGACGGAAAAGACATGTCACGTGATTACCTTTACCCAATGGCAATTTGGGGTTTATTCAAAAGGATCCAGCTTGAAAGATCGATCCGTAGAACTTCTTCGAGCAACTCCTTTCTTAACAGGGTGTACATCGGTGTCATTGTGTCCGCTAAAGGCAATGGCCCTGAAGCTTCACTGTCAATCTCAAAACCGGCGGCTAGTGCATATAAGAATTAGAACCTCCCTTTAGCCCCTGCTGCACAGGCACGTGCATTCTCTCTGTGTAATGGTTTCACAAATAATGTGAGGGAATCAGTCTTGCTCCAGTACATTTGCCAAATAAGTTAGCCTGCTGCTGACAGAGAAGTTTTTTTTAATCTATTCCATTTTGGCTTGAAAAGACAGCTGTTTCAGCCTAGACCCTTGTACCATTAATATGGCACATAAATACAACGAAATCACATATCCCCTCCCCCACACGAAAATCTGTTGACGTAACTTTCCGCCTATCGATTCTTAAGATAGCCTACACTGGTTAGACAAAAACATACAGCTCCATAAAACAAGCCCACTTACAGAACATTTTGTAAGGTCATCAACGATGACAGATAATCGCACTGAAATATATCATAAAATACATTATTATTCTATAAAGCTCTATTAATTTTTTTTTTTTTTTTTACAAAATAACGCGCAAGATAAAACGCAAATTCGAAGTCTGTAGACCTATATTTAACTATGAAGGATATACTCTCACTCGCTCTCTCTTCGATAGGGACCTACGTCGTTCTCAGTAAATATTTGAAGTAAAAGGCTTCCTGATACCAGATGTTTTCAACTGGAAGCTTTGTTTCCGAGCATATACCCGCAATGTTTGAACAGTGAGGATTAAAGTAAGTACAAACCTTAATATCACATAAAACTTCACCTCTGCTCTATCTTGTTAATATGACACAACACTTTACCTCTAGTCTAGCTTGTTTCCTACTCTAACTTCTAAACCTGGCATTGTGAAGTCTGGCTCTGTGACAGATTGCTTCATGATGTTTCAGTTGGTAAGTCGCTTTGGTTAAATCAATGAATGTAAAATGTAAACATAAGTTAAGTTATTTTTTAAACGAAACAATTGACGTTCATATAGATCTTTTGGATTATGATTAAACTAAAAGTAATTTTGTTCCATTTGTTTCATTCTACACAGGGAGGGGATTTTGTGTCTACTAACATTTTGAAAGTTTTTTTTTTTTTGCCGGATTGTTTAAACGTAAGGGAAACTAGTACTTTGGTCGTTTGTAGATTCAGTGCTTATATACTAAACAAAGAGTTATAGAAGCATGCACGCGATCAATCTTACTTGCCAAAAGGTCTGACAGCCTCATGCCCCCACAACACATTTAAACCTTCTAACTCTACGAGGAACAAATCCCGGTAGAACGAGAGGAGAGGCTGGAAAAAGCTCCATTAGAGAGATTTGCCTGTTTCTCGCGCTCATAAACACAGACTATAAGTGACCTGGCATTTTCAGATTTACATACAAGGATCAGTAATTTGCTGTCGATGAGTAGTTTCTTTCATATTCTATAGCCAGCCTAATTTGATAAATGAAAGGACGCGCTAATTTCGTTGCGGCGTATAGTGTTATACAGCTATCTGGAGTAGCCAAGAAAAGAGGTTACTATGTGGGAGGTGGCACTCATTCCAAGTCGGTGAAAACATGGCCCTGTTTTTTCTCATGAAACCCATAACCACATCTTGGGTTAACATGTCCTAAATTGATTAACTTTGCCTCATGCAAGCTCCTGCTAACATTATGCTATTAGGGCATTTTACAGAAAACTACAAAGTCCAAGTATTGCATTTATTTATAACATTTAGACGGCAGTAATTTGATAGGATAAATAGGCTAAAGACTAGTGGGAAAAAAAGGTATTTTTGTTTTAAATTATATTTGTTTTTTTTTGTTGTTTTTTTTTTAGCAATTCTCCTTTTAACCAGTGTACTACACAACGAGGTTGTTAATCATAGTCATTTAATTTAACGTCATTTCATGTAAAGTGAAATGATGAAACAACAGTATTGATACTAAAGAATTGTGTTAATCTCGAGTACTATTACTAATGACAATAACATTAAATTTGGACTCAAATTACGAGTTGTTTCAGAGAATTTTGCGTTGATGTGTTTTTTGTGTGATGTGTGTTTTCTTTCTCTCTATTGCTTATGTTGCATCTGTATTCTATACATTGCACTGCTGTTGGTCTAAACGAGGGCTGGGCTTGAGCATTTCAGAGTTTTAAAGCCTTTTTTCTCCCACAGGCACTGCTGGAAGCATGTAGGAGACTGTCACGACAATGGATGGGATTTCTTGCACTTTTCACAAACTGCAAGACTGCAGGAAATGACGGTGTAGGCTACCACTCATACTCAGTACATCCATCAGTATTAGGTTGTCTCTCCCTTTTCCAAATGTCTTTCAGTCGTTTTAATATGTAAGTTTCTTTTAATTTTGCTGAATTTGAACCAAAGAGCGACGTGCACTAAGCATATTATCCAACGCTTATTATTATATTGCTAATTTTCTGATGCTTTTTGTTGTGTAACACCTCTACTATGAAGGCAAATACTTAAGTCAATTAGTGTCTTTTATTTCTTCAGAAGTGGAGCAGCATGGAATGTATGACATCAACAAATGTTCAAACTAATAAAAAGCTTCTGATCGTTGTCTCTTTCGACTGTTTAAGCAACACATGATTAACATTCGCACACATCGATTAATATTCGAACACATTGACCTTTGATAAACAGTCTTGCCTGTTAGCACTTGTTTCAGCACTGACATGACTGGGAGAATCGCAGGATCTGGGTTCCTTTTATCCATTATCTGGAGGATTTGGGCTAAATAACACAATCTACTGTCCATGGAAACAAATAAATACATTTGAAAGACCTAAAAGACACGAGCTCACGCTGTATAAGACTGTTGAATAAAAAAATCGTGTTCATATGCATCCTTCCTCAAGTGCAAAATGCAAAACAGAAAAGAAATCGTGGACTGAGGAGAATTTTGAAGACTTAAAATTCACATAAAAAAACTTCTACTAATATGTGTTCTCATACCCTGTTTCAGATTTCATCAAAACAATACAGGCCTACATATTCCCATGATGCCATGACATTTGAGCTTTGAGGAACTTTAATTTCCTTTTCTATGTATTAAGTAAAACCTACAACAAGGTCGTTTCACCTGAGGCTACGTCAGGAAACCAATATGAACCAAATATACGCAGCTGTAGGTGGCGGAAAACGCAGTTAGACAGGGAGCGCAAATGTGTTCCGTGGACTGGGACAGACATACATTGTATCGGCACTATAGATGCGTCAGTTTGGGCGCTTCTTGAATTCTTCCCTGAGAATAGTGCGGTGTAAGGTCTGTGAATGTGCATGGGTTTGGTTCGCACGTTCCTTGCTGATGGCTGTTTCCCATGGTGATAGCGCCGTTGTAGTCTATATTGCCTTGAGGTGGATGCGATAGATGCGTCAGGCCAAATACCGAGGCCCCCATCCCCACCAAAGAATCCGAATAGCCTCCACCACCACTTACATAAACCGGGCTACCCTGCACTTGCGTCCCGTAATTGTTGTTGCCTTGAAGATGATGCGTGTCGTATTCCGGTGTGGCTGTGCCAGTCCCCGGATACCGCTTCTGATGAGGCGGGCAGTTATTCAGAGGAGGTGGATATGACGTAGGAAGGCTGTACGCATTAGGCTGGGGTTTGTTGTACGATGCTGGAGAGGGTGAGTCGTAGGGCACGCTGTTAACCAGAGAATGCATTGAATTTAAATATGCACTCCCACCCCCTCCTCCGCCACCAGATGACAGGGCAACGGGACTATGAGGAGACTGTGCTCCAGGAGAGGGCATCATTCCTAGCCCCTTCTGGTCCTTTTTGTATTTCATCCTGCGATTCTGAAACCATATTTTAATCTGCCTTTCCGTCAAGTTGAGCAGATTTGCCATTTCCACTCGTCGCGGGCGGCAGAGGTAACGGTTGAAGTGGAATTCTTTCTCCAGCTCTACTAGTTGAGCAGACGTGTATGCAGTACGAGCGCGCTTGGAGGCGGCCGAACCGGGGGGACTCTTGTCTCCAGCGCAGCTCTCTACTGTACGAGGACAAAAAAGTAAACGAAGAGCGTTATTGCGCATGTCCCAGTATGAACCTCACTGTACAATATTAATCGTGCATTACTTTTACTGTTGTTTAAAAGACTGAATCACTCAAAAAACACTGCTGGTACAGCACCATGTATTGTGCCATGAAAAGATAGTTCTACATAATTTTAAGGATTATATGGTAATAATATCATGCTATCCCTGTTAAAGCAAGCACATTATAACTGTATCAAAAACATAATAGCTTACTTTTTCTCATTAGGTTATACAAAAATAGGTATTGGCATAGTCTGTTCCGGAAGTGGGGCAGAGGGAGGATGCAATCAGAATCCAACTGTACTGTATTTCCACAACAGTTTCATAGTAATTACCAAATAAAATAGCTGACTATGAATGAAACTATGTAACTGTGCAGCAGAAACAGCGGTATTTGTTGGAGGTGTCATCGGTGCACAGCCTTTGGTAAACTCGGAATTTAAACATCAAACCTGTCCGATTACCTCCAAAAGCACTATCCTAGAAGTTTGGTTTACATGTGGTCCAATGTATCATAAATAAACAGTAAATAGCAATGGAAAGGCGATACAGGCTAAATTACAAATTCCATGCAGCATATAGGCTAGATTCCGGTTTATATATTTTATAACATTTATGTTATTAGCAGACTCTTTTTTACCAAAGCAACAACACACTGCACAAATCATGTTAGCGAATAAATAAAAATACAAATAAATAATTCCATGTGAATACTAACTCCATAGGCTAGCTAGACGCGTTATAGCTCGTATTCATTTATATATTATTTTATAAACGTGTATATTTAGCCTTTTAATTTAAGGTGTTACAATGTGGTTGATGTAATCACCTGAAATTGTGCTACAGGATTTCTGCTTTGTGTTCTGACGGGATTCCTTCATCCACGGAAAAATGTGTTTTCTTGTGCCTGACGTTGGGGATGCGTGCCCTGGGTTCTTGGCGGTGGTATCACTGCTCGGAATTTGGTTTATGGAACTGGGGGAAGATGGTCCGGAAGGGGCAGTAGGGGGCTGGTTGTTGTCGGGGATGTCTGGTACTGGGGTTTGTGTCCCGTTACTCCGTTGGCAGCCCTCGGAGATTTCACTGGGTTTGTGCAGAGCCGCAGAGCCACCAGGGGACTGCAGGGAGCAGGCCGGTCGATGGTACTCACTTTCCACATGAAGGGCCTGGAGATATTGCTGCTGACTGGCATCATAACCTAAACCGTTTGCGCTTTGATAGGGGAAGCCACTGTAAATTGCCGAGCCGTCGCAATAGGTCGCTTTTTGCATCTCGCCGTTTCCCAATGTTTATTTCACTTTCTGACAAGGTCCTGACACCTTCGTAGAAGAACATTGGCTCGACGTAGTCACGTGACACCTCTTCGCCAATGGGCTCTACGGGTGAACCTACGGTGAGAGAAGATACGGTGAGCGGGTGAAATAAGGCCTATCAATCTTACTTTTCAAAGCTCAGTTGACACTGTGGCGAGACTGGGAGAGCCGGTCACCACTTACCTTATGGCCAACTGAAACACCTTATGGCCAATTGAAACAATAGACAACATAACTGAGAACATGATGGCCGCTTAAAGTATTTAACTTAAACACACAATCAAAATAAGCTATAACTATGTTAAATAATCTATAGGCCTATGTTAACATGTTTAAAAAACAAAAGACAAATAAACACACAAAACCAATATTAAAAAATAGAGCATTGCGTTGTTGTAAATAGGTAGTGTGAACTGAATTAAAGCATTAGGACTATAAACAAGCAACAATCACTGTCGTGAATTTATGCGACTTTTATTTTCATTGTCAGAACAGCTTCTTCTAATGACGTCTTTTAATTTTAATGTTAAATATACATTTTTCTATTCTAAACAAAGGTCATTATTCGCGTCTGGTTTTAGTTTTTAAGGTGATAAGGTGTTCATGACATTTTCGTCCTACAAGCCCCTGCGTGTATTGGGTTCGAAAGTTGTAGTAGCAGGAAACCTGAAAAACCGGGCAGACGCGCGTCTCCAAACCACGGCATGATTTTTTTCCTCGCCAACCCAAAATAATGGATAATGGTAACTGGCACCAGTGGATGCATGAGGGGTCACCAAGCTGGGAAAGCGATATTGCCACGGCCCGGGACTGGCGAAGAGCGCGGAAATAACAACTGAAACGTATTACATTTGCCTAGTACAATTTTCCACTCTTACAGTAGGGGGCTGGTTGTTGTCGGGGATATCTGGTACTAGGGCTTGTGTCCCGTTACTCCGTTGGCAGCCCTCGGAGATTTCACTGGGTTTGTGCAGAGCCGCAGAGCCACCAGGGGACTGCAGGGAGCAGGCCGGTCGATGGTACTCACTTTCCACATGAAGGGCCTGGAGATATTGCTGCTGACTGGCATCATAACCTAAACCGTTTGCGCTTTGATAGGGGAAGCCACTGTAAATTGCCGAGCCGTCGCAATAGGTCGCTTTTTGCATCTCGCCGTTTCCCAATGTTTATTTCACTTTCTGACAAGGTCCTGACACCTTCGTAGAAGAACATTGGCTCGACGTAGTCACGTGACACCTCTTCGCCAATGGGCTCTACGGGTGAACCTACGGTGAGAGAAGATACGGTGAGCGGGTGAAATAAGGCCTATCAATCTTACTTTTCAAAGCTCAGTTGACACTGTGGCGAGACTGGGAGAGCCGGTCACCACTTACCTTATGGCCAACTGAAACACCTTATGGCCAATTGAAACAATAGACAACATAACTGAGAACATGATGGCCGCTTAAAGTATTTAACTTAAACACACAATCAAAATAAGCTATAACTATGTTAAATAATCTATAGGCCTATGTTAACATGTTTAAAAAACAAAAGACAAATAAACACACAAAACCAATATTAAAAAATAGAGCATTGCGTTGTTGTAAATAGGTAGTGTGAACTGAATTAAAGCATTAGGACTATAAACAAGCAACAATCACTGTCGTGAATTTATGCGACTTTTATTTTCATTGTCAGAACAGCTTCTTCTAATGACGTCTTTTAATTTTAATGTTAAATATACATTTTTCTATTCTAAACAAAGGTCATTATTCGCGTCTGGTTTTAGTTTTTAAGGTGATAAGGTGTTCATGACATTTTCGTCCTACAAGCCCCTGCGTGTATTGGGTTCGAAAGTTGTAGTAGCAGGAAACCTGAAAAACCGGGCAGACGCGCGTCTCCAAACCACGGCATGATTTTTTTCCTCGCCAACCCAAAATAATGGATAATGGTAACTGGCACCAGTGGATGCATGAGGGGTCACCAAGCTGGGAAAGCGATATTGCCACGGCCCGGGACTGGCGAAGAGCGCGGAAATAACAACTGAAACGTATTACATTTGCCTAGTACAATTTTCCACTCTTAAGTAATATTTGATATTATTGATATAGCAACAATAAATACCCTGTTAAAAATATCCCACCAGTCTACATGCTTTTATATACTTAAAAACAAAACGAAGAAAGGATCACAAAAAAAATCAAAAGAATCATGCTTTACTTGGAGCGCACAATAAAATATGGAAAGCAGTCTATTTAAGGAATAACAGCGATGATAATAATAATAATAATAATAATAGTAACATACCGATTAAGTAATAATCTGCTAGATAATAAAAACAATCATTTAAAAATGATTTATAACAAATTCAGACATAACTGTGCTAAATTCAGGCCCAAATAACATACTGAGACCACATAATTGCATAAAACTAAACCAAGAGGCCTGTTCAATTTCTAGACGACCCATCTATGCTTGACTTCCACTAACTCACTCTCTGGCACTATCATACACATGGAAAGCTAAAAGAAAAGACACTGACGCCACAAAGCAGGAGACCCAGCTGCTGCACGGGAGGAATCTGGCTTGACTGTGAGTGAGTGTGTGTATGTGCGAGTATGAACTCTCCCTGAACCGAGATTTCAGTGGCGCGGTCATAAATCACAAACTCGCCATTTAACAGCCATGCGAGAACTCTGCCTCTTTCCCGCTTACCTTCCTCTCTGACGAGCAGCGCGCAGCACGGCGCGAGCTTCTCTCATTCAGCGGCAGAAATCGATCAAACAGCGGTCCAGGGTAAAGCTAAATCGGGAAGACAACAAAGCCAGTGCTGCACTTGCAGGAGTCATGGGACGTATCTGCAGTAAAGCGGCGACTCGGTCGCGCTCGATGACTTAAATTCCTTCCTTCTGTCTTTTTCTTTTTTGACGTAGATCAGTAATAACGAAAGTTGTCTCCTGCGTCTTGGTTGTAGAGATTAAGCACCTTCACACATAGGTACATATTACATACTACTAAATGAATGCCTGTGTTCTCGGACCTATACTAAATGCCACCATGGGCTGCGCTCTAGTGAGTCTTTCGTGTACCACTAACGTGCACAAACTAGTACGTTAACACATACTTATGCACACCCCAGTGAACTCCCTCGAAACAGAGCGTCACCGTAGACAAGAAAAATTATGCAAATGAAGTGCCTTCTCAAGCACAGAAAGCAGTTCCACTCCCCTGTGAACACAGTCAGGACGATATACATACAACTTTATAAAATCTATAACTTGAAAATTACGCTAAGAACTAGACTATATATTAGAAGTTTTGTGTTAAACAAATATAAGCTTGATTGTTACTAAACAACTCAAAACTGAAATACAGATACACTCTAAAAAATGCTGGGTTGTTTCAACCCAACTTTGGGTCAAATATGGACTAACCCAACTTTTGGGTTAAAAATTTAATGTAAAAATTTAACCCAACGGCTGGGTTAGTCCATATTTGACCCAAAGTTGGGTTGAAACAACCCAGCATTTTTTAGAGTGTAC